TTTTTCCCGCGAAAAAAAATCAATCGATCGAAAATGGATGGTCGGTAAGTGAAGATTTTGTTTCATTGAGTTTTGCCTCGGTTTTTTTTGATATCCAAAAAACGAAAACCTTCGAATTTTTATTTTGATCATTTTTTCTATCATTTTGAACGCCATCCACATTTTACCAAAAAAAAAAAAAACAAAAAAAACAAAACAAAAAACAAAATCACTTTGCATGCGTTATACACACACCAAACCATTTATTACCAACATGCATGTGTGATGAATCTTCTTTGCATACTAAAATCAATTTAAGACAGAATTTGAACACAAAGAAAAAACAAAGTTGTTTATTTCAACAAGTTGTGTATTATGCGAATAAATGAAAAGCAATACAGCATTTTTTATATCATAATCAAAAAAAAAACAAAGACAAAAATAATTTGATTTAGATTAGGTTAGATTAGAGCATTCGAGCAACGTGATTTCTTGACGTTTGGATATTCAATCTCCATAGGCAAAAATAATAATATTAGCTGAAGAAGGATTTTGTGGTTTAGGAATGATAACGTTTCTAATGCAATTCGTATTTGAATCGTATAAAAAATAATTGCCGACCATTGTATTCATATAAAAAACAAGTTGATGTTTCATTTGGAGATTTTTTTTTGATGACAAATGGATCTACTTCAAGGATCTGGTTGATTGGATGCACGATAACTGTAGATAATTTTAATATCATGTTTGCAAACTTACCACCAATTGGTTTCATCTGAGACTAAATGTTTCACAACCATAACCATTCCAATATTCATGAGGACATTTTTTTGGCTAGAATTACAAAGAGTTAAATTTGGAAAAAGATATTCAAAATCTTTAAAAATTTTCTTTTTTTTCAATGATTCAAAAAAATTCTTAAGATATAAATCAACCTGATATAGCTTAGAATTGATTGACGTGTAAAGACCGCGCTGCTCACTCGAGTGAGCAACCCGTTCATATACAATGTTACAATTGTTACGAAAATAGCAACTGACTTTTATTTTATTTTAACAAACATTTATATATAAGCATGTGGTCTGTTCATAAATGCTGTACGCACATGAATAAATCACAACAACAATAAAATAATGAAAGATGAAAATACAATGATAGTAAGAATAAAGGAGTATATAATAATAATAGTAAAATAAAGGATTGAATCAATGATTATACGACAGATATTCAAAATCTTTAGAAATTTTCTTTTTTTTCAATGATTGAAAAAAATTCGATAATAGTTCTTTAGTGAAATAAATGGTACATTATTCTTATTCATTTTCGTTTAGTAAAATAATCCAACTCTTAGGCATTATGCATTACGAATGGCAGATTCTTCTTACCTTCAAGAAAAATTCGCAATGACGACGAATCCTTTGTATACGCTTTGGTATCACCCATCAGTTGCTTCCGCCTATTTATATCGCATTTCAAATGCTATGTATATTTTAATTGATCAAAATTGCAGGAAGTTTCGTTGAGTAATTGTGATATGATGAATAATCTTTGATATCATTTGGCAAAACATCCAAACAATGTTTGATAATCATTGGCACCAATTTTATGATAGACTGCATGTTGATGTTTTCTTGATATCGCATTGAGTTTATATCCAATAAAAAAATCATAATAAAATGTTTTTAATTCTGAAGCCATTAAACTATTCATAAAAAGAGCTTCATTTTCGCTTTTGTTTCCGCCGACTTCTTCTTCATAATCTATGCATATTAAATCAGCACTAAAAAAATGAAGAGAGCATTTTATTTTACCTTTCAAATTTTTAGGATTCAAGAAGAAATCTGGTATTTCAATATTTTCACTATCATCACCATCAGATTCTTCTTCTGGTTCTTGTTCATTATTCATCATCATATTTTCATCATCATCAACATCAGATTCTTCTTGTTCTCGTTCTTGTTCATTATTCATCATCATAAATTCATTATAATCATTGAGATGATCTTGGCCTATAGCTCCTGTAATATCTTCATCAACAGGTGTGATTGTTGTTGTTAGTGTTGATGTTGATGGAATTATTTCCAATTCATCATTTAGGGAAATGTTGGATGTTGATGGTTGTGGTTCATCTTCCTTTACAACTTTTGATAGTTTTTTGAATTGGAATGATCTGACAATTGAACAATCATTCATAAAAAGAATCAAAAAGATTTGCAATAAACTTACGATATATAGTCGGCATGATATGTTTTCATATGATAGGTGAATTCCCTTTTGTTGGTATAAAATGTTTTCCCTTTTAAAACATTATATCTAGTGCATAAAAAGCACTTCAACAATAATCCGGAATTCAATTCTTTTATTCTTTGTTCACTCTTTGATAGGTCATCCATCATTTTGATGTATTCCGGATCATTAATATCTCGTCTTGAAGATGAATGTGTCTTGTTTCTTTTCATCTTGAAAATGGATAACAATGCTTTTTGATAAAATATAAGTATATTCACTTAAACAAACTGAAATTTTAAATGACATTAAGAGCAATGATTGAAAGCTTAAACGCTTGGTTTGATTCGAACTTAATATCGAACTTAAACAGCTAACCTCACAGCTATAGATCTATGCTATAGATATATGATGTCAATCAAAATTCATACTCAAAATTCAAAGAACAAAAGAAAAAAATATGGTATTTATTCATTTAATCAAAAAAAAAAGAAATTATATATATAAAAATGGTAAAAAAAAAGAAAAGAACATCTTTTTTCAGAGAGAAGTTTTTTATTTGAAAAGCGATGTTTTGTTTTTTCATGTGATTTGTAATTGACACGAATGATCAAACATCATTTCATTGCCTGAAAAAGCATTCTCATTTGCAATGGGTGTGAAATAAAATGAGAAATTTATTTATTATATTAGATTTTATCTTGTCATTATGCAATAAAGATTCTTGGTTTTTATAAGAATATTTTTAAATATATTTTTTATTTTTCAATTCAAATGATATTTGAGTGATTGTTGCTTCAAATAATAAATGTTAATAATCTATAATGTGATAAAATATAATTCAGTTCCATTGGTTTGGTTTTTGGTCAACACAGTTTTAAGAGCGTCCTCGGGCTGGTCTCAGGTTCGGAATCCAGGCGTTGTTGAATTTTAAAGATTAATTTTTAGGTGGAAACTCAGGTTATGAACATCATCTGCACAAATCATTGAACCGAGGTACCACTGTAAATGGTGACGGCCTTAAAAAAAAAATTTTAAAAAAGAATCAAAAAAAAAAAAATCAATTTTTTTCCACTTATTAATCCATCTTAATGCACAACAAATAAATGTTTGTATAAAAAAAATATTTTTTAATCACTAATTAAAAGAAAAAAGGATTTTTCTATTCAATGGCTTTATTAAAAACTGTAACAATTATTATTATTAGTTTTTGTTATTTATATAAAGCAATCAGTGCATGCCATTAAGTTAACGGGTAATGAATATAATAATGACTTTTAATGAAACGTCTATCCTAATTTAGGTTGTGACTTGATTTGGAATCGTAATTTAACAAAAATTGAATCAATTCAGAAAGAATTTTGGAACATCTTTGGAAATTTCCATAAAAAATCAAGCATTTGAAACGGGATTTAAGCCAATAGTGAAAAATCAATAGGACAATGGGTCGGATCACAAATAGCGCAATTAAGTTATAAAAAGGATTATAAAAAAAATATTCATCTGAGCTTAAGTGAAGGAGACAGTTAAAAAGTAAGATGATGAATAAAAAAAAGAACTGAAAAATAAACAAAAAAAATAATGTTAAAGGGAAAGAAAAGAACCAAAACGAGTCAAAGAAAAAAATCAGAAAAAGGAAACAAAAAAAAGAATCAGAAAAAAAGAATCAGAAAAAAAAGAATCAGAAAAAAAAGAATCAGAAAAAAAAGAATCAGAAAAAAAGGATCAGA